CAAACATCTTCATTTTTGGTTTTTAACTGAGTAGTGATTTACATACAATACAGTTTAAGTGATCACCTTTAGCATAATCTCCACCCAAAATAATTACCAAATATTTCCATCACCCCAAAATGTCTCTGATGCTTACTGCTAATCCAATTTTTCTAGTCCATTTATACTTCTTATTTTCTAATAACTAAAGATACGATTGAGCTGATTTTATAACTTACATAAATAGAATCGTCCAGATTAAATTCTTTTGTGTCCACTTTCTTTTGTTCCAACATAAGGTTTTAGAAGTCTATCAGGGTTGTCTGAATCAACACTTGGTTTCTTTTCCGCTGTATGAACAGACCACAATTTGTTTTTCTAGTCTCCTGTTGAACATCTGAGTTGTTTCCAGTGTGGGGCTATCTTAAATAAAGCTGCTATGAAATTCGTGTACAGTCTTAATTGTGGCCATATAGTTTTGTTTTTTGTAAATAACTAGCAGAATTATTGCTCAAATGGCAGGTTTTTCAGTTCAGAAGAAACTGTCAGGGGGCTACAGTGACAGTACAGTGGGTAGGGAGCTTGCCCTACATGCAGCTGACCCAAGTTCGATCCCTGACACCCGATATGGTCCCCTGAGTCTGCCAGGAGTGATTCCTAAGTGGAGAGCCGTGAGCACTGCTGGGTGTGCATCTCCACCCCCACAAAAAAACAAAACAAAACAAAACAAAAAAGAAAAAGGAAAGGAAATGAACTACCAGACTACCAGACTTTTCCAAAGGCAGTGAGATCTTTTGACATTCCCAGCCATAGAATATGACAGTTTCAACTGTTTGATATATTCAATACAGAAGAAGCAATTAAAATCTAGGTACTGTTGGGCTTTATGGTTTTAACTATTCTAGTGGGAAAGGAATGATATTTCATTGAGTGTTCATTTCCCTGAAGACTAGTAATTACTGAGACCATTCCCATGGACTTACTGGTCATTTCCATGGTTCCTTCACAGACTACTGTAGAGTAACACTGCCACAGGGAGCGTAGGTTTATTGGGTTACACCCATCACAGTACTCCCTAGTCACTCCCATTCCTCTGTTTATCTGTAAACCCTTCTCTGTGCTCTCCTCCCCAGCCAGTTAATCACCAGTTCTCCCTAATCAGATTCTGTTAGCTTGTAAGCTCAGATCCATCTAAGAACACTGAACGTATATTGTAAGCTATGTCCTTTGCATAGTTTAAAGCAATGTCCTTTCTGTATGAACACAGAAAGACAGTTAATATTATACTTTGTAACTTGGGAGTTGATTGACTCCAAATAATATTTACTCCTGGGCATCTGCTTTCTTGACTCAGTTGCCCTTAGTTCCTAGCACCCAAAAGCAGGGTCCTGATGAGGGACTGAATGGACCCAGGGCAAGCTGTGAGCTACCCTGGCATCAAAATGGGCCAGGCCAAAGCGCCACGATACTCAACTATAAGTTGAGGGCACGATCATGGACAAATGCTGTCATGATTCAAAAGTAAGTAACAACAAGACTAGGACCCTGCTGGGGCTAGGAAGACTAACCTGGCCTGAGGACTGTGGAATATACAGAATGACATTGCTAGAAACATTGGAAGTAGATTTACAACAACTATTTAAGTGAAAGAACACACCTTTGTTGGGATCCCACCCTTGAGCAGATCTCATAGTAATCTGGAATAATCTCTTTAGATGAGATTTTATCCTTGAGTTCATCTCCTCAAGGAGTGTTCTTACCTCTCTTTGCTGATTTGTTAATGTTCAACCCACCTTTGTGTCACCACCCTATGTGACTGCTATATAAACTAAGACTGTAAGCTAGGAGAGGGCTTGGGCTCGAGAGGGCGGAGGGAGAAGGCTCAGAATGAGGAGGAAGCTGAGGCTCAGACTCAGGCTCAAGCTCAGGCTCGGGCTTCGGGCTCAAGAGAGCAGAGACTGAGGCTCAGGTTGAGGCTCGGGCTCGGGAGCTCGGGCTCCAGAGGGCAGAGTCAGAGGTGAGAGTGAAGATTGGAATAAACTACAATTGATACCAACCAGCCTGGCCCTCGTTCGTTCCTTCGCCTGCCCATCACCATCGACCTCCCCAGGGTGGGGGAAATGGCTCGAGACTACTGAACACGGGTGGCAGGAGAGACAGAGCGCCGCTGGACCTCTTGAAAACACACAGACCACCATCAACCTTCTACAAATATAAAGTGGTCATCTCCTATAGTAGTGCTCTATTCCTGCTGTAACAAGTGACTTCAACAAGTAGCTTAAAACAACAAAAGTTTGGCAGGGAGTGAACTCAGAAGACTGGAGGAACGCAGGCAAATACAAGGCCTCTGAGTTCAATCACTGGCACGACGTGCCCCCATGTGCCACCACACACAGCACCACCGGCCAAGGCCCTGACAACTCAAGAACATGAGCGGGTACCAAGTGCTCTGCATCTCCGGATCCCAGCATGCAGCTGTCAGGCTTGGCACTGCCAGACTGAGTACCACCAGGAGTGGTCCCATGGGCCCCCACACTACTGGGGAGGCGTCCCACCAAAGGGGAAAAAAAAGTTATTTTCTAGTTCTGTGGGTTAGAAATCTCAAGAGGTCTCACTAGACTGATTCTGAATTAAATCTTGGTTGTGGCACATTCAAAGACCTTGAACTGTGGCCAAATTTTTCACAGCCCCCCTCCCTCACCCCCAGAGTTTAAGAGGCCAGGCTCGAGAGCACACTCCCCCACCATGCACCCTCAATTTGGGCATCTTCCACCATTTGGGTCAGCGGAGATGTTCCAAGTTCAGGGACTCCCGAGTCTTGTGAAACAGGTCTCGCCTGATCTCCTCCCCCACTCTCACATGCCGTGACAATTTTTACTACATGGGGCCGCACACTGCTCGGAAATTTCAGTAAGATAAACTCTAGCTTCACTGCGTACATGCCCTGCTTCCCAGGGAAGCTGTCTGCTGCCACAATTCCACGCTGTCTGCGACCAGATAACGAGGATCCCTTTCCTTCATATTCTAACATTTTCTCCATTTCCTTCTGTACTCCTGCCAGCAGAGCCCATCCTTCACAATGCCGGGGCTATTCTCTCGGTGAAACTTGTTCTCTCCGATCCACTCCTCGCTTCTGAGTCTAATGCCCATTTGCACCCATGTTCCAACACATTTGTGGTCCTACTCCCCAAAATTTTTCCAGCTCACTGCTCAACTTACACAGCAGTACTGTTATTTTTAGGTAATTGGGTTTTTTTGTTTGTTTTTTGGGGGGTTTTGTTTTGTTTTTGTTTTTATGGGTCACACTTGGCAATGCTCAGGGGTTATTCCTGGTTCCTGGTGATTTTCGGGGATTCATAATGGGATAATAGGGATTGAATCCAGCTTGGCCGCAGGCAAGGCAAGCACCCTACCCACTATACTATCTCTCCAGCTCCTATTTTTCAGTAATTGTTACGGCAGCAATTATTTCCAGGTATCAAAATCGGTCTAATTCTTTCTCGTGTCACTCCCCAAGCGAGCTTTATCAAGTTATAACTCACATATACTATGTCGATCTGATACACATATACCACAGACATTCCCTTTCCTATCATAAATGACCATAGCATAATGTACCCTTTCTTTAGCTCACATCTCACTGGGTCAGTGGCACTGCATGCCATTCTGGAAGCTGTGTGTGTGGGGGGGGAGGGGGTGGAGGGAAATCCATGTTCTTACCTTTTCCAGCTTTTAGGGAACACTCACATTGGGCACTGGAACCCTTCCCCCATCTCCAAAACCAGCAAATGTGCACTGCTCAAAGATGGTATGCATCACCAAGTTTCCTGACTAACCCTTCTCTCCTGCCTCTCTCTCCCAATTCTAAAGTGTCCTCATATGGGTCCGGGGATAATCCACACAACTAACCCTCTCTGCCAAATACAAACCGAAATACTTTTGCCCTGGGCCATAGTTTATTCAGTAGGTCCTGAGTTAAGTGAGGGACATGTCTGCTGGAGTGCATTATGGTGTCTGCTGAAATGAACTAGAAAATTTACTTATAGTGGGCTTGGAGGCACACCATGACTCAAAGCAATGTAACGAGACTCAAAGGGACTTAGCAGCTAAACAAGTCAACAAGCAAACTACTCTCAATAGAGTAATAACTGATGGATCACTTTAAATGTTGCTAATATTTAAAGAATCAAGTCACCTAAATGAGAATTTTCAACTACTTATGTGTAGCAGAAACTGTTACCTAATTAGTTAAGCACCAATTTTCAGGCTCTCCTCCCTTGTCTACTCCTAATACTTGGGCTTACGACTTACTTTTCTGGTCTCCTAAGGAGAGTTATATAACACAGCTGTACCCAATGAAACCTAAAAACCTGCCTTGGGAAAAGCTCCTACATACCTGATAAAAAGGCAGATGGAGCTTTCCCTCCCTGGCCCCTTTCTCAACACCCCTCCCACCTTGAATGCTGCATTCAGACACTTCTTCCCCAATACTGTAAAAATGTCCACAAAACATTCAAGAGACACAATCTTAACTGCTGAACTACTGAATCTATGCTAGCTACTCGGTATATTTTGGTTATGGTAACTATTTACATCTGGCTTTCTGTTATTTTCAGTCAAAAGCTTTACTAATTAAAAAGTATATTCAACTGCTTAAACAGAAGCACTCTCCAAAATTTACTTGTAGACAAAAGCCAGATATACTTAGATGAGTGATAATAAATAAGAATACAACTACTTTAAAAATAAAATAAAACATTTGTTACAGATTTTAGAACTCTCTACACTCTTTCTAAGACATTTGGAAATTATTAAGTCTAAAGAAATCCAACAGACAAAACCCCAAATACTCAGAATAAGTAACCTGTAATATATTATATTAAAAGAGTGCTTCTACAGACACATTCTTTAAAATTCCTATGAATGTCCTTCCAGTCTGTAAGCAGACTGAATAGAAAGAGAACAACAAACATTTCCCCACATATACACTAACCCCTCCCAGGCCCTGCTTGTGCACATACCTGCTTGTGACGATGATCACATCCTCGGAGATGTTAGCCATTTCTTTGATGGTAAGGTAACACATTCTTCTCAAGATTTGCTGGAGAAGTGTTTAGAAAAGGCAGCAGGTTATTCATAAAGTATTTTTTTTCTTTATGGTTCACACCTGGCCATGTGCAGGGGTTACTCCTGGCTCTGCACTCAGGAATTACTCCTGGCAGTGCTCAGGGGACCATATGGGATGCTGGGAATCAAACCCAGGTCAGCTGCGTGCAAGGCAAATGCTGTGCTATCGCTCCAGCCTCCCCCCCTTTTTTTCCATAAAGTTTTTAAAGGCTTGACTAAACCAAAAGATCTGTCTAGAAAGTTCCTCTTAATGTGTTCCTCCTTTAGGGGCTAGGAAAAGTGGCTTAGTAGTAGAGTACATCATTCATACATATAAAAAGCCTGGGTTGGTGAGTGTTGGAACATTATATGCAGGTTGCGTGCATGAAACCCTATCATTAACAATACTGTAAACATGGTACTTCAAATAAACTCTTAAAAAAATATTTTTGTTTTGGGGGTATGGTGCCGCCAACAGGTCAATCTGTACCTGTGAGGCGAGTGCATCAGCAGCCTGATGGTGCTTTCAGACCTCCAGATACCCCAAAATTGCTGCTGTGCCTTTGGTCAGACCCCAAAATCTTGGGGCAAAGTTTACCAAGAAAGTAAATGGCCAAAAGTTAGGTATGTGGGAAACACGCCCACAAACCACCTCCGGCTCAGCTACATAATTGGAGGCAAGGCCTCTCTGGTTCCTGATTGAACTGCTTAATGGCCATGATCCCAGAGACTCAGAAATAAATCTCGAAACCCAGCGGCTTTTGGCAGAAAGACATCTGGTCCCTGCAGTAGGTTACCGGTGCTGGGCCAACCCAGGTGGGAATAGGTTTCGTGCCTTGGCCTGTTCCCCCTGGCGGCCCGGTGGCCACTGTCCTCCAGAGGCCATTGGACAATCAGGTTTGGGCCCACAGTGACGAGACACGCAGGGCCTCACGGGATGGGGGTGGAGCCGGTCCTGTCCTCCCCACCCCAATGAGACCCCAAGTCATTGCCCACGAATGGCCTCTCTGGCTCCTGATCAAGCTGCTTAATGGCCATGATCCCAGAGACTCAGAAGCAAATCTCGAAACCCAGCGGCTTTCGGCAGAAATGCATCCGGACCACGCAGTAGGTTACTGTTGCCGGGCCACCCCGGGCGGGAAAGGGTGCTGTCCCTCCGCCTGCTCCCCCTTGGTGGCTCGGTGGCCACCATCCTCCAGAGGCCACTGGACAGTCAGTTTTGGGCCCGCAGTGATGAGACATTTTGGGCCTTATGGGATGGGGGTGGAGCCGGTCCTTTTCTCCCCACCCCAACGACACCCCAAGTCATCGCCTATGAACGGCCTTTCTGGCTCCTGATCAAGCTGCTTAACGGCCATGATCCCAGAGACTCAGGAGCAAATCTTGGAACCCAACAGGTTTTGGCAGAAATCCCTCCAGATTTAAGCGTTAAAATTTCAGAATTTCAAAACTGCACGGCCACTACTGCAGCAACGCGACATCATATGTTATTCATAACCAGCAATAGAAAACAAAATGTCTACTGTTGCCCTTTCAGCAGATCTGAGTATTGGGGTAAAATCTCAAATAATAATGGTGGGTCTGGTGTCAAAATATTGAATGTGATCAAAGCAGAGAGAGAGTAATGTGGAAATCATCTGCCCCACAGGTAGGGGGAGGGTGTAGGATGGGGTATACTGGGGTTGTTGGGGGTGAAGAATGGGCACTGGTGAAGGTATGGGTGTTTCTTTGTATGACCGAGACGTAGACCTGAAAGCTTTGTAACTGCTCTCACGGTGATTCAATAAATAAAATTATTAAAAAATGAAAAAAAAAAGTAAGGTGGTGTTCATGCCCAATTCAATCAGCTAATCAGTGGCTGAATAAACAGAAGTACTCCTACATAAAAAAAAAATTTGTTTTGGGGTGCACACCTGGAAGTCCTCAGGACTTACTCCTGGCTCTGCACTCAGGGATCACTCCTAGTGGGATTTGGGGGACCATATGGAGTGCCAGGGATCAAACCTAGGTCAGTCATATGCAAGGTAAGCACCCTACCTGCTGTACTATCTCTCCTCCCCTGCTACCAAGAAAAAAAAATTTAATGGTGTCCAAAAACATAAAATACCTAGGTTAATTTTTAAAAGGATGTGAAAGACATATATTAAAATATAAATTAGGCCAGAGAGATAGTCAGAAGGTAAGGCACCTGCCTTGCCATGGATGACCAAACTTCAATCCAAGGTACCACCAGGAGTTATCCATGTGTGCAGAGCCAAGAGTGAGCCCCAAACCACTACTAAGTATGGCTGCCAAACCACCACCACCACCACCACTCACACACACACACACAAAAACCATCCTAAAGCATTATACAGATTCAATGCAATCCCCATCAAAATTCCAATACATCTTTCAAGACCTTAGCAAATACTAAATTTTGTATAGATTCATGAAACTCCCCACAGAGCCAAAGCAATTTTGAGAAAAAAAAAGATTTTTTTTCTCAAAATCTTTTGTATTTCATTTCATTTTTGTATTTCATTTCAAGTCAGGGTACTGCATTTCCTGACTTCAAATTATACTATAAAGCTAGAGTAATCAAAACTACGTGGTATTAGAATTAAGGTAGATTCTTAAGACCAATGAAACATAATTTAGTGTCTAGAGATACACCCTAAGATTTATGAACAGTCAATCTATGACAAAAATTGTGTGCATAAAAGGTAGCCTCTTCAACAAATGGTGCTGAGAAAACTGGAAAGCCAGAGGCAAAAAAATGAAACTGGAACCACAATTCACATCATTCACAAGTTAATACAAAGTGGACTAAAGACCTTAACATTAAATCCAGAATTCATGAACTACATTGAGAAAAATAAAGGCAAAACTCTCCAGGATATGAACCCAGATGTGTCTTCAGTGATTTCATTCCACGGGCATAGAACACTGTCACCGTCACTGTCCTCCCATTATTCATCAATTTGCTCGAGCAGGCCCAGTAACATTGTGAGACTTGTTACTGTGTTTGGCATATCGAATACGTCACAGGTAGCTTGCCAGGCTTTGCCATGCGGGTGAGATACTCTCAGTAGGCTTGCCAGGCTCTCCGAGAGGGGCAGAAGTATTGCACTCAGGTCGGTCATGTTAGCTGCGTGCAAGGCAAACGCCCTACCCGCTGTGCTATCACTCCAGCCCATTAGCAGAGATAACAAAACAAAAATGGAATTATATTTCACTGTCACTGTCACTGTCCTCCCGTTGTTCATCGATTTGCTCGAGCGGGCCCAGTAACGTCTCCAACGTGAGACTTGTTACTGTGTTTGGCATATTGAATACATCACGGGTAGCTTGCCAGGCTTTGCCATGCGGGTGAGATACTCTCGGTAGCTTGCCAGGCTCTCCGAGAGGGGCGGAGGAATCGAACTCGGGTCGGCCATGTTGGCTGCATGCAAGGCAAATGCCCTACCCACTATGCTATGGCTCCAGCCCGGAATTATATTTAATTTTAAAAAATCAGTTTACATCAAATTTTAAAGTCTTTGCATGGCAAAAGAAACTTAGAACAAAATAAAAGACACCTTTCCAAGTGAAAGAAAATATCTGCACAGATTACATTAGATTCTGTTGAGTTGGAAGCGGTTATCAAAGCCCTAGCCAAACAGGGCATTCAAACTCAAAACATCAGGATCCTCCATGAGCTGTATTACAGATTCACTACCAGGATCTCATCATTCTACAAAGAACTGATCATCCATGTCAAGAGAGGGGATCGGCAGGGTGATACCATTTCACCCAAAGTCTTCAGTGCCACCCTCTCGAATGTCATACAACAACTAGAATGGGAAGGAATGGTCGGCAACTACACCACCTCTGCTTTGCTGATGACATCGTTCTAATAACACCAAACATTAGCCAAGCAGCACAAATGCTGGCCAACTTCGACTGTGAGTGTGGAAAGCTCAGACTACAGCTGAATTTCATGAAGACAATGTTTATGAGAAACAGTCTCATTCCTGACGTTCCATTCACTCTCAATGAAGTGAACATCTCCAAATGCAACAGTTATATGTACCCAGGTCAAGAAGTCAACATGACAAATGACCTGGCACCTGAGTTGCACAGGAGGAAGAGAGCAGCTTGGAAGCCTTCAAGAGTGTCTAAGAAATAGCTAAGAGGACGAAGAACCTCCGGTTCCGGGCACATCTCTTCGATTCCACTGTTTTTCCTGCATTAACATATGCCTCAGAGACCTGGGCCCTACGAAAACAGCATGAGAACGCTATTCAGGTATCCCAAAGAGGAATCGAAAGAGCTTTGCTTGGAGTATCACGTTTTACTCAAATGAGAGAAAGAATCCAGAGTTCCAACCTCAGTCGACAGTCAAGAATCAGGGATGCTGTCTCGTTTGCCAAGGCATCGAAAATCAGATGGGATGGACACATAATAATATTTGGAGATGAGTGCTGGACTAGAGCTGGACTACCAACTGGATTCCACGGGACGTCAAAAGATCGCGTGGCCGCCCACCTACGAGACGGTCAGACTTCTTCGTCAAGACCCTGAACGATCGGTTTGAGGCTGTTCGTGTTCCTAGAACAAGCAGACACCACTGGGCTATACTAGCACATGACAGGGACAAATGGGGATGTTACTGGTGCCCGCTCAAGCAAATCAATAAGTAATGGGATGTTAAGTGATCAAGTGACATCAGATAAAGGACTATCATCCAAGATATTCACTAAGTACTCACAAAGCTCAATAACAAAAAACAATTCCATCAAAAAAACAAAAAAGGATAGTGGAGATGAACAGACACTTATTCAAAGAAGACATACAAATGGCCATTATTATTATTATTTATTGCTTTTTGGGTCATGACGGCAATGCACAGAGGTTACTCCTGGCTCTGCACTCAGCAGTTACTCTTGGCGGTGCTTGGGGGACCATATGGGATGCTGGGAATCAAACCCAGGTCAGCCACGTGCAAGGCCCTACCCACTGTGCTACTGGTCC